TTATATCAATTGGGAGCATACTATATATATATAATACAGAGAATTGCCCCTAGCAACCCTAGTAACCCTGAAGCATGAGGAAGATTTATCATTAATGTAAACAAACTGAAATCTGTCAGATAAACAAGATCTAAACCAGTCTAGCATGGTTTCTTTAATTCCTACAAAATATCCAAGTTGTTCCAAAATAATATTCTGATCAACTGTATCAAAGGCAGCACTGAGACTTTGATGTTTTATTCTCTTTAGTTTTCATGACATGATTAAGATTGAGGTAGAAAGTAAAGCAAAAATAGTAAGAGCTAAATCTTAATTTAAATTGAAAGAATAATAAAACATACATTCTGGTTCATGCAGACACAACATTTATTGCACACATTTTTTTATTAATAAATATAACCATTTTAGATTCTGATGCTGCTTGGAGAAAATATGCACAATTATTTTTTAGACATACTTATTCACCTTTTCCCTACACCTGTGGTGTGTCTAACAAATACGAATTAAAAAGTATTCCAAAGTGGGTTTGACTTTGGTCAGTCAGCATGACTTTCCATTCAGAAATCAGTTGCTTTTTCACCATTTCTTGCCCATTACTTATTCTTGAATTTTTATTTTTTAGTGACACTGCTTTTACATGTTTCCTCTCTTTGGTTTGGGAGCTTATTGAAAGACTAATCCTGTAGACTCAAGGATGTTGTCTTATAACTGAATCCTGCTAAGGTGAGTTATACTATTATGTGATTTGAACAAAGAAGTGGATTGGATTATTTTGAAAACATCTTTTTTTCTATAATTTATACTCTAGTTGACCATGAACTGCAGAATTTCCTCCAATCCGTAACATAACAGTGATCCTGCTTTGAGTACCTCCTAAATAAATACAACAAAGCCTGGATGAGTCACTTCTAAATGCTGATAGCAACTCTGCCCTAATCAGTATTCTATTTCAGTCTAAACCAAATGGTTGTTTTTATTTTGTCAAAGCTTTCTTTGAGATTAATGGACCAGGGGTCACTTTAGTGGGATTAGATGACCCACAGTAGCAGACACAAGTCTGTCATGCTGTTTGTAGAGGGTGTATCTCTGTGTGTCATGTATTCTTTATTGTCGAGATACAAACACAAAGAAGAATTGGTGTTTCCTTTTTATGTTTCACATGTTTTAAAAAGGTGTGAGTAGGTGCTCTTAGTAAATATCAGTTTCTTTGGATGTAAGAAATGTAACCCTTAGATCTTTGCAGATAGAGTGAAAATAGTGTGTTGACTAAAATATAAAACCCATTTCCATTAAAAAAAGGGTCCAAAGATTTATACTTAAAGTAAACGCGCATGAACATACATGCATATATAAAAGATATGTCAGTACATCATCATTAGGTAATTTACATAATAATAATATTAGTTAATGTGGTGCCAAAAAAATGTAATAACCTAACAGAGATGTGCATCTGTCTGCCACTTTATTGAAATTGCTTGGGCAATTTTGTGTAAATTCGAGTGATTATGTGAGATGTATGAATATTGATGATCTTCTGTTACAAAATACACAGCATTTCTGGCATCATCACGCATACTCAATTCAAAGTGATCAAATTCTCTTTCTACACATTTTGAAGCTGAGTTTAACTTTGGTAAGCCAAATTCCCCACATATATTTTTAAATGTTCATATCCCTGCATTATTATTGGTTGATTCACTAGTTGCAATATTAGAAGGAAAGTACAGGTTCTTTATTCATTACAAACTGTTGCATTTGACCTTCAGCACTAATTCTTGATTTAGAAAAATATTATGATTTAAACATTTAAACATTTTGTTTATAGCATTAGTGTTCTTAGGCACTAATGCTAACACCCTGGTTGTGGTTGTCAGACGTGGCTTTGCATGCACAAACATGGCTTTGCATGCCATCATTACAGCAGTTTTCACATGAATGTCAGAGAATTATCAGATAATTAGTTTTGGACTTTGAAAAAAGATTCCTATTTACACATCCTTCAGAAACCAGGATATGTTTTTGCATGAGACATGTTCCTGCAAGTCCTCCAAATGGATTTAGGTAGAGAGAGTTTACAGGAGATATGTTTATATGCATGCAGACAGTACCATTTATGAACCATACCCACCTGAAAATCAGTGTGACAAAAACATTAGGGAGAATGTTCATGTAGTTCTGTCCATTTACATACTGTATTATGCTAAAAACCCCATTAAAAATACAAACAACTAAATAAATCACCAGAACCCCCTCTTTTCATCATATCAAACCTGTCCTTCAGGAACTCCATTGGCTCTCAGTTCAATTTAGAATACAATTCAAAATCCTTCTTTATACTTTCAAAGCGCCTTTCATAATCTTGCTCCTCCATATCTGTCAGACCTCCTTCACATTGCCTCCTCCTCCCGCTCCCTTAGATCCTCCTCCTCCATCCACCTCACTGTACCCCCAGCTAGACTTGTCACTATGGGTACAAGAGCCTTCAGCCGCTCTGCTTCCCAGCTGTGGAACTCCCTCCCTCCTGACCTCCGCAGTATTGACTATCTCTCCTTATTCAAAACCGGACTCAAAACCCATCTGTTCTAGCTTGCTTATCTATAAATACCGGTACATTGAACTTGTTCCTCCTCATTAGTTACTTGAAAGAAAACTGCTAGTTGGCTTAAGATAGTAATTTCTGGTTTGAATTTGCATGATTAAGTTACAAGGTCTGCATAAATGATATACACGCAACATTCCACCAACATTTAATTAGTGATCTGGTTGCTCTTTCACCTTTGCAAATCGTCTCAACCCCAAAATGTTCTCTTTTTAACATTTCGTGCTGGGACAATCACTCTGTGTGAAGATTAGTATGTTTCACTGGATTTAGAGCCTACAATTTCACAATATCTTTAACAAATCTTTTCTTTAAACAAGACTGAATTTATAAAAAAAAAAAAAAAAAAAATCAGGCAAATCTAGACATAAAAAGTAGTTTTTAGTTTTATTGTTCATGATGTCATTTTGCAGTTATACCCTAAAAGATTTAGGTTTAGATTAATCTTTTATATTTAACATATTCTTAAGTAATGTTTACATTTTTGAGTGTCCAAGCTGAAGTACCAACATAATTCAGAGAGAGGAAAACTGTGAAAGGGTTACAGGTCATTGAGATTGAAACCTGCAGCTTATTATCATAGATAAATCATTAAAATACCTCTCTGAAACATGCCAATTATGCTGTAATGACAACAAAATTTTTTAGCTTATTATTGAAGAGTATAAATAACTTACAATGCATAATCTTTGTTAAAATGTAAAAAATGTAAATGTTAAAACTGGAAAAAAATTATTAATACATTTGTTATGTTTATATTTTGAGAAATCCAGGTTTTAATCCCTTTTGGATGAAGTGAAATTTGTTAAAGAGCTACGTGAATTTGCCAGTGGAATGACTCTTTTTAAGAAATTATCTCTTTTTGGTTCTGGTTTTCATTTATTGGTTTTAAGGTTATTTCTTTAATTTAGTATTTTTTATACTTTTGCCAAACTCAGTTGAGTCTTCAGTTTTTTTAACCAGCTGTGTAATTATTGTAAGTTGTTTGTTGTGATGTGTTTGTCTGTGTATTTTAGTTAATTAGCTAAGATTATTTTAGGAATTAATTCACTTAACTTGTATATCCTTTTGTGTCTAGATTAGCTCCCTGCGTATTAACTTGGTTTATTTCACTTTATAGCAATCACATTATTTCAAACATTTTTTAGTGTGTAAAAAAGACTAATTAGAAATGGAGACTAAAAAACACTCCTTTCAGAGGTCATTAAAAACACAATCTACCAGCAGATGTGGTTTATCTTATCCTGCATCTTACTGCTTCCTTCATAGACCACATTTGGCAACTAGTGACTACCAGACTGAAAGTCAGTGAATATTTGTGTCCATTGTAAATCCCACATTTTTCCTACAGCTACCATAAATTGGCCATATGTTCCTTTAAACAACTACTCCCATGTATCCCCACACAACACATTTATGTAAAGATTGCTGTCAGAAGAAGAATAGAATTCAACTTTATTGTCATTCCACTGTCACAAGTACAAAGCAACAAAATTAACTCTCTGTATTTAACCCATCCCATTGAGGAGCAGTGGGCTGCCATTGTGTGGCGCCCGGGAAGCAGTGTGAGGGTTAAGGGTCTTTGCTTAGGGACCCAGAGTGGCAGTCCATGGGAGTGGGGCTTGAACTGAAAAACTCTGAGGTCCAAGCGCAATGCCCTAAACCACTAGGTTGCCAATACCCTAAAAAGCCCATAGCCAGGTTCTGCTGACTCTTGAACTCAGATCACTGGATCCAAAGTTCTAGCCATTACACAACAGAACCCGATGTGAAATTTGTTGGTTCATAAATGGTTAAATAATCTACTATGTGCTAATGGAGCAGAAACATATTGATGGAACATTTATTAAAAACAAAAAATAAACTTCAGTTCATGAGGATTTCCATTCTTTCCTTTGCTCCAATTTGTGTTTTCAACACTTTTAGTGAGTTTAAAGTGTTTCTGTCAGCCCTGAACTTAATTGTGTTTCCTAAATGGTAAAGCGATTTGGATAAAAGGATCTATCAAATGACTAAATGCAAATGCAGAGCTCCTGTCTCATCAAAATACAGTTTTCTCCCATCAGCTACAGGTAGGGGTCTCTTTCCCTGCAGCATGTGATGCATGATTCATATTCTACTTGCCCTGCAATTTACAGCACTTATAAGGGTAGCAGGAATTGTTGCTTTGTTACAAAGCATGAGCTTTTTCTGTGACTATATTTTGGATATGAAATAGATAAGAAAAAACTAAACAGTTCATCAAAATATGCTTGGGTATAATGACGTAGTTTTAATAGAGATGTTTGATATCAGTTTTTGTCTTTTCTGATCATACTTCATAAGTTCGTAAGGAAGTCAGTTCAGAATGAAAGTGTGATTCCTTGTGATAAAGATCCTTTCAAGAACAGACATCAAAAGTTCACTTTGTCTTTTCCCCTTTGCTTTCTTCATCTTTCACTTCATCAGTTTCATCAGATGCTTTCAATTCACCCTCTTCACTTTCCTCCTCCTCCAGCTTAGCCACATCATCCTTCTCTTCCTCTGTTTTGGCGTCTTTATCCGTCTCAACCTCTTCGTCTGTTTTTTTCACTGCTTCTTCCTCTTTAGCTTCTTTTTTTTTTTCTTCTTCCTCCTCATCCTCATCTTCCACCTCTTCACCAGTCAAGCGCTCCAGATCTGCAATACGTTGTCTAAGAGCTGTGCCAGCATTCTTGTAATTGCCCAAAATCTTCTTGAGCTTTAACTGCATGAGCTCCATTGTGCTGTACAGTTTGGTGACCTTTTCCTCTAGCTCCTTAACCTCAGGCTTAATGTTAGCTGGATCCAAGTCTATGAGACCATCTTTCATTAAAATCTGTCGACCCTTCTCCTCTAGCATGGCCTTAGCATCAGGATACTCAGTCAGTGACTCCATCAGGTCATCTTTGGAAAGGCAGAAGAGGTCAGAGTAACCAATGCTTCTAATGTTAGCAGTCCTCCTGTTGCCTGCTTTACTGCCTTTAATATTGAGGATGCTAATTTCGCCAAAATAGCTACCACTTCCTAACACTACGAACTGTGTGACACCATCATCGGCTACAACTGCTAGTTTCCCATCTTTAATGATATACATCTCGCGGCCAATGTCGCCCTTTTTGCATATGTAGTCTCCGGGGCTAAAAACCTGTGGACGAAGTTTAAGCACAAGCTGGATAAGCAGACCAGCTTCGCAGTCTGCAAATATTCTAACTTTCTTCAGAGTGTCCATGTGTACTTGGATGGCTATTTCTGCTCTTAGCTTGTCAGGAAGATACCGTAGCACCTCCCTCTCATCTTGAGCCTTGCCGTTATTCCACAGGTAGTCAAACCACTTGATGACACGTAGCTCAAGTTCTTTACTGACTTTTCGAACCTATCAAAAGAAAAAACAATATCAAAGAGGTAAATTACTAGTATACCATCAGATTTTTTGATTTTTGTAGTTTTTCTATCCTGGCTTTTAGATATTTACCTGCATGTACTGTTTGATGTTGTCAATGCGGGCTTGAAACTGGGCTTGGGCAGCATTCATATTGGAAATCATAGTAGCAATGTTTCCCACAATGGTAGCAAAAATCAAGACTCCGACTAAGAAGTCCACCACGTGGAAGAGAAATTCAGAGTCGAGAGCTGGTGGTGGGGTTTCACCGATGGTGGTCAGAGTCAGTGTGGACCAATATAGGCTGAAAGCATACTTTCTCATAGGCTCACCAAATGCAGGCTCATCCGGATCATCAAGGGCTGGGTAGACCCAGTCATCAGCTCCAAAACCAATTGACTTAGAGAATGAAAAGAAGAGGCAAGCATTCCAGTGGATGATGATGAGGATGTACATGATTAAATTTCCAATGCGGAAGATGTTTGGATAGTTGGTTTTAGTTTCGGTCCTTGTGAAGAACTCCATCAATCGGCCAATTCTCAGCAGCTTGTTAATGCGAATCTCTGGGTAGTCAAGTCCAAGTACAAAATAGAAGATATCTGTCGGCACCATGGACAGAAAATCAAGACGAAACTGGAAGCTCTTAATATAGTTTTCTTGAAGTAGCTTCTCATCCTTCACCATCAGGCCTTGTTCAAGGTACCCTGGAAGGAAGAAAATACAACACATACAGACAATTACTACAGTAAAGCAGTGTGTCTGTCTGCCTGCCTATTTTTGTATTCCTCTGTTGAAGTTACCCTCCAGCTTTTGTGCCTTTGAGGCATTAGGCAAGATACTGAAAGGCCAATAATTGTTGTCATACTGCACAGGGCTGGTTATACTCCCCACAGCAGTGTGTCGCAGTGAGCTTGACGCAGGTATGACAAAGACATTTTTGATTTATGCTCAATTGTGAAACGTGGTCTGCACTATGTTATTCCACGCCACAACGCAAGAGGGAAAATCACAAACTAGCTGTGGGTCTAGATACGGCCGAGGTGGTGAGGAATTGGGGGCAAGTTTGTCCCACAACGGAGGGACATGAGGGCAAAAAAGAGCGGGGATCCAGGTGGAAAAAGGGTCCCAGTATTCTCGCGGACTTCCCTCTTCTAGCTGGTCTAACTTCACGAGTTGTTTTCCGCAACGGCGGTAAGGTACCAAACAGGAAATACGCACGAGAAGAGCAGATGTAGATTTGACCAATCAGAGGCCTCCTGTCTGTGGTCACTTACGGTTTGGGAGAGGTGCAGCAGAGTGTCTGTTTAAGTAGGGATCAGCCAGCTTAAATGCTAGAAGTTTTGATGTAAATAAAAAAAAGATATGTCCAGCTAGCAGATTTAGGTGGAAAAATGTTTTTGTCAGAAACATAATTTTCAAGAATCCTTGTTGACTTCAAAACCACAACACAGATGGTGATGGAATTATGTGAATATTGTTTGTGTTATGGCAGATTCCCTTTTGTAAACTAATTTGTGTTGTGCACATTCAATTTAATTGGTGATTTATGAATCAAAATCACACAAGGCATTTTATAAAGGTATCTCTCTTTGAAACCTTATACAAATGTTTAGTGAATATGAAAGTGAGTAGAAACATCTAATAATAGTAAGTCAAAGCTGCCAGTTGACCTAACTTGCATATTTTAGATCCATGGGAAAACGATGAAGTACCCAGAGCATTAGTATGGCATGACACCCTCCAACCGCTTCAAACCTCTGGCCTTTTCTCAAGCCTCTATAGCCTTTATTATATCATTTTCCTGATCCAGGTTCTACTATCAAAATGTGTCTGGGCTGCGCTGAGCCTCTGATGCCCACACCAGTGAAGTAGGGGAACAATAATGATAGCCTCTGAGACTAGTCAGGGAAGGCATTGGCATATGCACTCAAGTTTCTGTTCTTTTCTCTGACAAAAATGCCAGATATTCTCCACTCTTCGTGTATACAGTACGTCTTTGTCTCTGGCATTGAGGTCAAGGACAAACCAAGTCCTGGGTTTCTTCCATTAACAAGGGGCTTGAAAATTACCTCAGGTCCCTCTCTCTGAAAATAGGATTTCCTGCACCAATGCCTGCACTCTGACATGATATAGTTTAACCAATAGTGCTGTCAGGAAGAGGAAACCTTTTTACACTAAATGTGACAAAGTAGTAACCCTTGAATGCACTACTTACTACCTACCTTCACTAGCTAATTTACACAGGAGCAAGGGGAGCACATGCCATCCTGCTGTAGAGTCTAGCTACCCCTCCCCAGTTGTAAGTAATTATAATTCTTGTAATTCTTTTGTTTCTTTGTTTAAAAGCCCCTTAAGGCCTTCGAATGAAACATTTTGTTTCATCAAAATATA